CAGGTCACATGGACTGTGCTGCTGCCCATGGGAGGGCCCAAACTCCCAGTGGTCATCCAGCCAGGCCTTGACGTCAGTGGTATTAACCATCCACTTGTCTAATCTCCGGTCAGTGGCGGGGCCAGGCTAGACCTGTCAGAGCCAGAGCTGAAGATCACGAGGGCACCTCAGGGACACTTTGAGATTGCAGGCAGACAAGGTGGCCGGAGTGTATATAATACATGACAGATGTGACCATGGTGCTGTCTCCGATCTCCGCCCCTGACTGTGAATCAGGCATCAGGCACTCACTGAGCTTATTTCTTAGAGTGCATTTAACTGGTATGGTAAATGGAGCTAAGGATTTCTGCCTAGGAGGCTCCCCGCACAGGCAGGGCAGCTTGAGGCCAGGCAGTGTCCCCATCACACAGGACTCAGGGATATTATTATGTCCCAGAGCCTGTGCTCAGGACCATCTTTGGAGGGTGGAGTCCAGTTAACATATAGAGTCGAGGTCCTTCTCAACCCCGTACTCAAGGCTTTCCCCAGCCGGGCAATGATGGCACACACCTTTAATTTTAGCACTCAGGAGGCAGAGGCAGGGGGATGTCCCAGCACTCTGGAGGCAGAGGCAGGGGGATCTCTGTGGGTTTGAGTCCAGCCTGGTCTACAGAGTGAATTCTAAGACAACAACAACAACAACAACAACAATAAATAAACAAATAGCCAGGCATTGGTGGTGCACGCCTTTAATCTCAGCTCTTTCGGGAGCCAGAGACAGAGACAGGCAGATCTCTGTGAGTTTGAGGCCAGCCTGGTCTACAGAGCCAGTCAGGATAGTCTCCGAAGCTACACAGAGAAACCCTGTCTCGAAAAAAACAAAAAAAAACAAAAAGAAAAAAGAAAAAAAGAAAAGAAACAAGAAGAAAAAAGAAGAAAAGAAAAATTACCACATTTTTTTTTTTCTTTTTTTTTTTTTTTCTTCTTTTTTTTTTTTTTTCTTCTTTTTTTTTTTTTTTCTTCTTTTTTTTTTTTTTTCTTCTTTTTTTTTTTTTTTCTTCTTTTTTTTTTTTTTTCTTCTTTTTTTTTTTTTTTCTTCTTTTTTTTTTTTTTTCTTCTTTTTTTTTTTTTTTCTTCTTTTTTTTTTTTTTTCTTCTTTTTTTTTTTTTTTCTTCTTTTTTTTTTTTTTTCTTCTTTTTTTTTTTTTTTCTTCTTTTTTTTTTTTTTTCTTCTTTTTTTTTTTTTTTCTTCTTTTTTTTTTTTTTTCTTCTTTTTTTTTTTTTTTCTTCTTTTTTTTTTTTTTTCTTCTTTTTTTTTTTTTTTCTTCTTTTTTTTTTTTTTTCTTCTTTTTTTTTTTTTTTCTTCTTTTTTTTTTTTTTTCTTCTTTTTTTTTTTTTTTCTTCTTTTTTTTTTTTTTTCTTCTTTTTTTTTTTTTTTCTTCTTTTTTTTTTTTTTTCTTCTTTTTTTTTTTTTTTCTTCTTTTTTTTTTTTTTTCTTCTTTTTTTTTTTTTTTCTTCTTTTTTTTTTTTTTTCTTCTTTTTTTTTTTTTTTGTAGAACACTCTTAAGTGCTGGGATTAAAGGCATGTGCCACCACTGCCTGGCTTAAATACAATTTTTTAATTTTCTTTTTTTCTTTTAAAGTTTTTTCCAGGTGGTGGTGGCACATGCCTTTAATCCCAGCACTTAAGAGTGTTCTACAAAAAAAAAAAAAAAAAAAAAAAAAAAAAAAAAAAAAAAAAGAAAAAAAGAAAAGAAACAAGAAGAAAAAAGAAGAAAAGAAAAATCACCACATTTATTCTTTTCCTTTTCCCTACACCCTTCTTTCTTTCTCCCTCTTTTTGAGACAGGGTCTCACTATTTATAATTCTCTATGTAGACCATGCTGACCTCGAACCCACAGAGATTCTCCTGTCTCTGCCTCCAGACTGCTGGGATTAAAGGTGTTGTGCCATCATACTTGGCTTTCCCTGTTTCTTTCAGTAGGGTTTCATGTGATCTAGACGTGAACTTACTAGGAAGCCCAGGCTGCCTTCAAAATCATCAATGCTATGCTCAGCTTGTTTTGATCTTTTTTTGTGGCGGACTCTCCAAGCTTTGGGCTGACCTCAAGTTCCCTATGGACCTGAGTGGTCCTGACCTCCTGATCTTCCCAAATACTGACTATCCAGGCATGCACTGCCAAATCCTGCTAAAATATGTTTGTTTGCTTTTTAAGTGTGTGTGTGTGTGTGTGTTTCTGGGGATTTAATTCAGAGCCTTGCACAGACATGCTGGAGATTACCTATATGAATGACCACACTCAGCATTTAAAACTTTAATGATTTTTTAAATTTGTGAAGTATATTTCACAAATATCATTGCATCTTGCCACTAAAACATGGCAATAAAATGGAAATAAGTCATGTTTTGGGTAGAAATAAAATATTTAAGATTCAAGTAATGTGGGATGTAGCTCAGTGACAGAGCACTTGCTTAGCCTGGGTGCCAGCTAAGGCCAAAATGAAGAGAGCAAAACAAAGCAATGATGTTTGGGCTATGGCTTCACACAGTGGGCACATTGTCCTTAGGGCCTAAGCCTAGCACTGACAAAAATGACCCATATAATGCAACTACCTTTGAGTTTAATTTTATTCATTTGATTGATTTTGTTTTGTTTTTGTTTTTGAGATAAGTTCTCACTCTATAGTCCAAGCTAGCCTGGAACTATGTAGACCAGGCTGGCCTTCCTGGCTCTGCTCTTTAGGTGATGGGGTTCTACATGTGAGTCCCCACTCCTGACACCAGATTTTTTTTTTAAAAAAGTTAAAACTATTTAATGTTCTGTATCTATATAGATACACATCTCAAAAAAACATGAGGTGACTGAGAATTCTTTAGCATGGAAAAGACCCTGGGTCCAATGTCCAGGCCAAGGAACAAAATAAGGGTGTTCACAGAAGAAGATCCAGGCATGGTGCATTCCCAGCACTTAGTAGGTGGAGGCAGGATTGCTAGTTCCAAGTCAACCTAGGCTACATAGTACATCCTGTCTCAAAAACCAAAGAAACCGCCATGGAGGTGAATGCCTCTAATCCCAACACTCGGGAGGCAGAGGCAGGTGGATATCTGTGACATTGAGACCAGACTGTTTTACAAAGTGAGTTCCAGGACAGCCAAAGCTGTTACGCTGTTACACAGAGAAACTCTGTCTTGAAAAACCCAAAAAAGAAAAATAGAAAAAGAAAACATATATAGGAATAGATATTTTTCTGTATATTTCAGGCTCCAATAAATCTTGGCATGCCTTTCTTGAATTTTTATAATTTTGTTCACAGTGAATTTTTGCATTAATTTTATTTTTTTTTGTTTTTTTTGCTTTTTTCAAGACAGGGTTTCTCTGTGTAGCTTTGGAGCCTATCCTGGCGCTTGCTCTGGAGACCAGGCTGGCCTCAAACTCACAGAGATCCGCCTGCCCCTGCCTCCCAAGTGATGGGATTAAAGGCATGCGCCACCAACGCCCAGCTAATTTTAATTTTTTAAAAGTTTTTTGTTGTTGTTGTTTTGTTTTGTTTTCTTTGAGATAGGGTTTCTCTGTGGCTTTGGAGGCTGTCCTGGAACTAGCTCTTGTAGACCAGGCTGGTCTCAAACTCACAGAGATCTGCCTGCCTCTGCCTCCCGACCACCACCTGGAAAAAGTTTTATTTTTAGTGTGTGTGTGTGTGTGTGTGTGTGTGTGTGTGTGTGCGTGCGCGCGCGTGCATGGAGGTCAGAGGACAACTTTGTGGGGTCAGTTCTCATCTTCTGTCTTTATGTGGGTTCTAGGGATGCAACAGGTTTGTTCAGCAAGTGGTTTACCTACTGAGACATCATACTGGCCCTAATTCTGATTTTAAAGGTGTGTGACACCATACTGGACTATGAGTGGTAAAAGAATATTTGAAGCTGGGCATTGGTGGCGCACGCCGTTAAACCTAGCCCTCAGGAGACAGAGGCAGGATGATCTCTGTGAGTTTGAGACCAGCCTGATTTACAGAGCAAGTTCCAGAATAGCCAGGGCTACACAGAGAAACCCTGTCTTGAAAACAACAACAAAACCCCCACATTTATGTATCCCTGGTTGGCCTGGAACTTGCCATGTAGACGAGGGTGGCTCAAACCCACAGAAATCAGCCTGCTGAGATTAAAGGCATGTGCCACCATGCTCAGTTCCTGATTTTTTTAAAAAAGATTTTATTTATTTATTTATTTATTTATTTATTATGTATACAACATTCTGCTTCCGTGTATATCTGCACACCAGAAGAGGGCATCATATCTCATAACGGATGGTTTTGAGCCACCATGTGGTTGCTGGGAATTGAACTCAGGGCCTCTGGAAGGAGGTCGGTGATCTTAACCTCTGAGCCATTTCTCCAGCCCCCTGATTTATTTTTTAACATTAAATTTTTATTTGTTTTCGGTTATTTATTTGTTTGTTTATTTGGAGGCAGGGTTGCTCTGTGTGGCCCTGGCTGTCCTGGGACTAAGAGATCCACAAACCTCTGCCTCCCAGAGTGCTGGGATTAAAATTGTGCTAGCAGCTAAGGCTTGTAAGTGTTGAGCCATCTCTCTCCAGTCCCCCGGGTTTTTTAAGGCTATTTTGTTATTGATTATGATTGTGTGCGTGTGTATCTGTGTGGGGGTGTGTGGAGGTGAGTACAGGTGTGTGTATAGTACAGGTGTGTGTATCTGTGTGGGGGTGTGAGTACAGGTGTTCATAGCCAGCCTAGGCTACCCAGTAAGACCCTGTCTCATAAAACAAACAAAAAACTCCCTGCTGATCTGAGGCTGCCCCGGTTAACATTTCCCATATCCTTCAGTCTCGGTCAAAGGTCATGAGTTGGACCCATTACCCCCTCCAAGATCTCCAGAGCCCAAGTCAGGCCAGGCACTTTACCTTGCAAGGGGTCATCTTCCTACATCACTGACGTCTAGTACTTAATAAATGTCCAGGACTCATGGTAACTAAGCTTCCCCCACAGACCCAAGAAAGGACAGCAGACCCTTTGCAAAGGTTTATTGCTAAGTCTGTGAACATAGCCAAGGGAAAGTACAGATGACGCCCTAGCCTTGCTGGACAGAAGCGCTGTGTCTCCACAACAGCAGCACTGACTCTGGTCCACAGGCTTAAGTAAAGACTTTCGGCTTGATGAAGAAAGGAGTGGCTGGGGGTGTGGGACATTGTCTCTAATGGCTCAGGCATGACTTTCAGTTCACTCTCTCCAGGAAGGGGCCCTACATCCGGAGGGACAGCAGAGTCACATGGAGTCGACTGGAACCTCACATGGGATATTCTTTGCCCATGGTTGATCGATAGAGTTGGACTCTGCCCTCAGCCACCCCTCAGCGTAGCTTGATTATTGGTCAGAGCTGATGTCAATAGTGCTCTCCTTCAATACACCACACCTTGATCAGCCAGCCCTCAGTATTGTGTGTGGGTGGAGGAGGTGGGGTCCAGAAGTGTCCAAGGACAGAGGGGAAGACCCAGAGAGAGAAAGGGACGGGGAGATGCCCTGAGACTGGTACTTGGGGATGGGTTTGGCTTGTGTCTCTCCCTGGTACCTACCTCAAAGTCACTAATTTATCTGTGAGCCTACTTAGACCAGAGCTTGGACTTTGGATCCCTTGGGCTTCTGGGAGGGACAGTCACTGACCACTGGGTGGACAGATGTTGGGCTTGTCAAATGCAGGTAGCAGGCTGGAATGACCTGCTGGCAAGCAGCAGGACTGCTTGAGGGAGGGATACCTCAAGCCCTTCATGAAAGCTGGGGAGGGCAGGGAGGGCTGTTTGCTGAACCGAGATCTGCCAGGTGAGCTGCTGCTGGTGGGGGTGGCAGAAGGGCGTCAGAAGACCGGGTCACTTGGGCACTGCTGAGTCACTGTGAGCGCCAGCTGTCCCAAGTCCTGCCTTGTCCTAGTTGGGGCTAGTTGCTGTGGGTCCAAGAGGCCAGTGCAGCCAGGCGTTGAAGGGCAGGGCGGGGTTGGGGAATTGGGGGAGGGTCTGCACTTTAAGCCTCGGGGCTTGGGTGTGGCTAGTGGAGCGGAGGTTGAGGCACAGGAGTTATTGGGGACTACAGGGCAGCTGGGCTACTGAGTCTCGGAGCAAGGGACATAATTGAATACAGGTATCTGTGAAGAGAAAAGGGAACGCAACCTCAGCATCCTTGAGCAGCAAAATAAATGAGAGTAGTGGGTGGGGCCTCTGGTAGTGGGTGGAGCCTGAAAGCCTGGGCAGCAGGGGGGGCAGTCTGGAGCAGTGAACGCCTGGAGGAACTAGGGGCAGGGTTGAGGTCCTGAGATTACGTTGGAAGACAGTGGAAGGTCTGGCTAGCTAGGTCCCCACCTCAGAAGAGCCCGCAGTCTTTGAGGTTCTCCTTGATGATAATGTCGGTGACAGCGTCAAAGACAAACTTGACGTTCTGTGTGTCCGTGGCGCACGTCATGTGGGAATAGATCTCCTTCACGTCCCGCCGCATGTTAAGCTCGAGGAACTGCACTTTGATGTAGTTGCCGGCATCCTCGTAAGTGTTAGGTCCTGCGGCAGAGGGCAGCACTCGCTCTGCGCGGGAAGACCTTCCGCGGGAAGGAGCGCGCTGCGCGGCGGGAATCGTGGGGCTGGGGCGCCGCCTGGCGGCCGGGACTAGGGACGCTCACCATCGTAATCGGGAAAGCAGATGCTGAGGTGTGCCTTTTTGATCTTCTCGGAGAAAACGTCCTTCTTGTTGAGGAAGAGCACGATGGACGTGGTGGCGAAGTAGCGATGGTTGCAGATGCTGTTGAACAGGTGCAGGCTCTCGTGCATCCGATTCTGGGGAAGGCAGCAGGCTGTTGGGCACCAGGCTACGCAGGCAGCTGCCCTCGGTCTCTGGGCTCCCGGGACTTGAGCGCCTCCTCACTCCAACAGCTCCCAGACAGCCTCAGTGGCTCCCGGGGCTCCACCTCCCTTGGCAAACACTCAGGCCTAACTGGGCACTCACCACTTCGTCGTCCTCCACCAGCACCATGTCGTAAGCGCTCAGTGCCGCGATGAAAATGATGCACGTCACACCTTCGAAGCAGTGGATCCACTTTTTGCGCTCGGAACGCTGCCCGCCCACATCGAACATTCTGCAGGACAGAACCAGCCGTGTCGGGTCACCTGGACATGCCCACCGGCAGCCCCTGTCTTCCTGAGCCCTCTTAGGAAGTGGCATCTGGGGTGACCAGCCTTTCTCTTGGCCGGGGTAGGGCCTTCCCTCTCCGGGCAGGCCAGCTCAACAAGCGTGCCGTGCAGGGCCCTCACCTGAAGTTGAGGTCCTTGAAAGAGAACTGCGTCTCGATGATGCCAGTGGTTTTGACACGAGAACGCAGCACGTCCTGCTCAGTGGGCACATATCCTGGAGTCACCAGGCGCTCTAGGTCTGAAAGATAGCTGAGGAAGTGGGTGAGTGAGCATGAGGGGGAGTGGTGTGGGAGAGCCCCCCGGGCTGGGTCCTGCCCACCCACCTCCTCTGCTCCCAGCATGCACTTGTGCACTCACTAGCCAGCAGAGTCGTTGAGCTGGTACTCGGAGGCTCGCTCAAAGCAAGCTTGGATACCCGAGTCTTTCCACAAGCGCTGAATGATGTCAGACATCTCCTTAGGCATTGTGCCTTCCTCGATGGTATCCGCCATGTGCATCAGCTTCCGGGCATCATCCTGATGGTAGGGCAAGGTAGTGGTTGGGAACCTGAGCCTAGCCGGGTGCCCAGAGCCCCTAGGGAGTGGTATCAGCCTGCCTCACCTGTCGGGCCGAATCTCCATACTGAATGTTGAGCGTCGTCATAGCCCGAACGATGGCCAGGATGGACTGCAGAGTGTTGCCATAGATGATGGCTATGAACTCGAGGCATTCTTCCAGTGAATAACCATCCTGGTGGATAATCCTACAGCCCAAACCCGTAGAGTCAGAGCTTCCTGGGCCAGCAGGGAAGGGCTATAGCTAGGGGCTAGGGGCAGGGAACACTCACTCACTTCATCTGCTTGACAATGGTGCTCTTCCCGGATTCACCAGCACCTGGAAGGGAAGCTGTGACTCAGAGCAGCACTGACCAGCACTGACCACTTCCTGTGGATCAGAGCCCTGGGGTGCTAGCTAGAACTCTAGATAGACTCGCTCTCATTTCCATCCAAAGTAAAGTCTTGAAGACCCCTGGGGGGAAATGGTTGTAAATAACAAAAGGGACTTAACATTAGTTATGTGATCTTAACTGTGCGGGCACAGGACGGGCCCCAAGATTCTGGTATATAGAGCCTTTATTATGCTGCAATATCAAAATAAGGAAACCTCTAGGGCCACCTTGTGGATATTTCCAGTACTGTATGCACAGGATTATCTGAATGGGACCAACCTCTGCTTTTCACCTACAGACTAAAGAGATGTCTCTGAGAGGCTCAGAGGGAATTAGCACCCTTAGATGAGGAAGAGGACAGAGCTGACATCCTTCCTGAGCCTGCCCTCCTCAAGGGTGTTGGATATAATTAATGGGATTTCCGGCTTAGCTTCTTGGCCTTTCTCCAGGGGGCCCTGGCTTAGTACCTCTGCCTGCCCCCTAAACTAGCAACTTTCCCCTGGGGGTTAAGCAATGGCAGTACCACATCTCTCCTCACTACCCATGGGATCATGGGCTTTATTTATTCTTGTAGGTGACAATATCTTTCCACTTTCTCTCCTGCCTCCACCCCACCTGGGTTTCTCTGTGTAGCCCTGGATATTTTAGAACTTGCTGTGTAGCCCAAGCTGGCCTCAGACTCAAAGATCCGCCTGCATCTGCCTCTCAAATGCCGAGATTAAAGGCGTGTGCCACCACTGCTTGGCATCGTTCCTCTTTCTTTAGCTGTTTCACCAAAGATAAAATTCTGCCACCTAGTGCTTTTGTGGACATGAGTGGCCTTAGAGGCTTCTTATTCTCAGGGGAGAAAGGGCCGCCAAAAAGACCTGAGCCTTGTTGAGCAGGCCCAGAAAACCAAAGGCTATACCTTTAGGACAAGTGTGGCTGAATGCACACATTTATTCAAAGGTGTTTGACACTCACTTCTGCAGAAAGAAGAGTGTCCACAGGAAATTGCCATAGGATGCCTAACCTTGGGAGACTGAGCCATCACCACCTGTCAGACGTAGCAGGGGTGGGGGTGTGGGGGTGGGGGTGCCCTGTCCCACCTGAGCCCTGCCACACCACATTGTCATTCCCACCCACCCCCAAGGAATCCTTGCTCCATAGAAAGGCTGCTTGCCCAGCCCCAGGCTGCTGACCCTCAGCAGTCCCCTCCCCATCACTGGACAGCACCTTACCCAGCAGCAGCAGCTTCACGGTTCGAGCATCCTTTTCAGCATCTTCTTTTAGCTTCTTCTCTAGCTCTCTGGAATGCTTCTCCTCAGCACTGGCCCCAGCCCCCATGGTCCCAGCAGCAGGCAAAGGGACAGGGTAGGCAGCCTTTGGCCTCCTCAGACAACCTTTTGGCCCTAAAGCTGGCAATCAACTGGCTCTCCACGGACCTGTACAGGCCCTGGTGGGATTGCTTAGTGGGATTTGGGAGCTAGCAATGCCCAAGGGCCAATCAGAGACAAGGACAGGTGAAGCTCAGTCTCCTAGCCTTTTAATCAGGCTGGCAAGGCCCCAATCCTTCGACTGCTGACTCCGCACCCCTCTGCCTCCTCCAATTCTCCAGAAGAGACCCGAAGAGTCCATGCCTTGTCCTGTAGGAGTTTCTTGGTATAGTTGAGGGGAAAGACCCTTTAGTCCCAGAAGTAGAACTGGGGCTGGGGCCGGCAGGGGAATACTGAAGGAGAAGCAGTAGATGACCTCCTGCTTGCCCGCAAGACTGTGTTCATGACCACTCTTCTGTGAGCTTACATGGAACGTGGGGGAAGGTGTTGCCCAAACCACAGCCCCATTTTACTGGTTAGGAGGAGCACAGGGTCACATGTTTAGCAGTGGTTCACAAGTGTGAACCCTCTGGATCAGAGGGTTCTGTGCCTGCTGGAAACTACAAGGCAATAGGTGACTTTATATTTGCCTCACACTCAGGGCTAAATGTGACCCCGAACATGGTCTCTACATACCTTCTGCAGGATGAGTCTGAAATACATGCCTGGGTGTGTCTTTCTGTTCCTTACTAGGACCAAGTAATGACTTGAGCCTGTATACGGGCATGTATGTGTTCACCTGGTAGTAGCTTTTTAAGTACATGTGCCCTTACACACCTGTTTAATTGACTATGTATGCAATGTGTGTATGTGCATTGGTGCCCTGTGCCCATGGTGGGGATCAAATCTAGGGATTCGTGCATGCTAGACACATACTTTACTCCTGAGCTGCACCCCAGCATCCTATGCTTGCCTTACAGGTACAGGTGTTCCTGTTTATTTTGCAGTGCTTTGTGTGGGCTCATTGCTGTTTATTCCTGTGTGCCTGGATATGCTAATGTAGGTAACTGTGGGAGACATGCTACAGCCCACTTGCCTGTATTTAGATGCACACCTATGTCCCTGTGTGTGTGTACAGAGCTTGTATGTGCCAGTCCATGCACATACGTGTGTGTGTGTGTGTGTGTGTGTGTGTGTGTGTGTGTGTATGTATGTAATTGCAACAAACGAACTACAGAAGTGACTAAACTCTGAATCTTTGGCAGGTCTATTGTCAGATATGGATGCTGAGGCTTGGTGCTCCCCGGAGTATGGGAGAGTGGGGGTTCCACTGCCCTTCTTCCATCCGGTCCACTCAATGGGAGACCTGCATAGGCACCATTAAAACCTGACAGCCCCGACTCCGGTGTGGAGACCTGCTCAGGTGTAGCAGTTGGTGAAATGTGGCACCTGCTGAGCTGAACTCCTGGGTTCTAGAGATTTCTCATCCACATACAATTGGAAACCCCAATTGAGAGTCTTCGGCTCTCAAGGCTCTCTGTACTAGTCGAGCTTCTTCGTTGGATTTCCTGAAACCAGACCCAACTCTGCAATAGACAACTAGGGGGGTGTCAGCATCCCAGGCACTGAGCACGAAGTTATCACTAATCAGGACATGTGGAAGTAGATACCCTCATGCATTTTGGGCACTCATTCTACTGAGGAGGTTCTACTCAGGAGCAAGACTGCTTCGTCTGTGCCACAGGGATCTTGGGCAAAGCAGCACAGGAGCCCTGGCTAATTCAACTAGCCTGTTTTCTACATATCGACTATTTTTGTTGTTTTTGTTTGTTTTTCGGTTTTTCAAGACAGGGTTTGTCTGTGGCTTTGGAGGCTGTCCTGGAATTAGCTCTTGTAGACCAGGCTGGTCTCCAACTCACAGAGATCCGCCTTCCTCTGCCTCCCGAGTGCTGGGACTAAAGGCATGCGCCACCACTGCCTAGCGGAGCCTTTTTTTAAAATTATTTATTTTATTGGTGTTTTGCCTTCACATGTCTATGTGAGGGTGTTGGATCCCCTGAAACTGGAGTTAGAGTTGTGAGCTGCCATGTGATTGTTGGGAATTGAACCGGGGTCCTCTGAAAGAACAGCCATTGCTCTTACCCTCTGGGCCATCTCTTCAGCCCCCAAATGAACAAAATGCCAACATGAGTTTAACTCTTCTCCTTTTCTTTTCTTTTCTTTCTTTCTTTTCTTTCTTTTTTTTTTTTTTTTTTTTTTTTTTTTTTTTTTTTTTTTTTTTTTTTTTTTTTTTTGAGACAGGTTTCTGTGAAGCCCTAGCTGTCCTGGAACTCACTCTGAAGAGCAGGTTGGCTTCAAACTCACAGAAATCTGTCTGCCTCTGGCTCACAAGTGCTGAGATTAGAAGTGTGGGCCTAACCCACCTCCATTCCCACCTCAACCACCAAGCAGAGAAAGCAAAGTCTAGTCCCAGAGCCAGTGTTTATTAGCAAGATGGAACCCAAGAGTGGCTGTGGCTTGGGTAGCAGAGGGCTGCAGGAGCCCCCAACCCATCTACCCAACTGCCCCCAGAGCTATTTACACCCATCACCTGAAGCAGTGGGCAGAAGGGAACCTTTTGGGATGCCCTGCAGACCTGGGGCCTCCATCATGGCGCATGTACCCTCAGGGCTGGGGGGATCTTTCAAGCCGCACCTGTACCCGGCCCCATGGCATCTCTCCCCATGGGTCAAGGTGGCACAGGAAAGCTAAGGAGGTAGAGAGGGGTGGACCTGCCAGGACAGGCAAGGAGGGGAGAAGAGGAGGTCCTGCCCCACCCAGGCAGACTTCTCTTCTGTCCCCAATAAATAGAGAATAAATACCTGGGAAAGGTTGGCCTTGACTGAGCACCCCTGACCCAGGCAGGGGCCTGTATCCTGTGATGGCCCTTCCCTCCCTCCCTCCTGAGTGCCCTGAGGCCCAACCCCCAGACTCTACAGCAGTCCTGGTGTCCATGTCTACGCCACAGCACAGCTGACAATACTCATCAGCAAAAGTATATGGTCCATGCCCCAGCAAACAGGGCTTGCTCCCTCCCTGTGTTCTGTAGATCTTGACAGCTGTCGAGCAAGGAGATTTCCGCAGAGTCTGGGGACTGTATGGTCTTGGCATGGCCCTGGCAACTTCCTGGGCCAGGTTGGGCATGCTCAGTCATGTGCCATTGCTGACCAACATGGGTCTAAGTCCTGGATAATGGTGCCACTGAGGCAGGCTATATACAACCCACCAATAAATACTGTCTTTGCAGGGGTAGGGTATGTATAGAATATAGATATTTTATATATATATATATATCTTTTATATTAAAAGGGATGAGGGGCTAGGCTGGTCCTATGTAGGCCTCCAGCAGCTGGCCTCATGTGTCCGGAGGGTGGTGGCGACGGTTCCGGGGCTTTTTCTGGTCCTGGGGTTCAGGAGGTCTAAGTGCTCCTGGAGCCTCCCTGGGGTTGGGGGGCACATGGCGCCAGTAACCCTGGCAGTACTGATGGATGAGGCCCACTTCCGGCTGGGCTAGGAGCTGTGCCAGCTCCTGGTAAGGAGGTGTGGGGAGGCCTGCACCAGGAGGTGGAGGGGCGCTCCCAGCCAGTGGGGGGAAGAGGGCAGCATGAACGGCGTCCCGGCCCAGGACATGCAGCTGCACCCGAGTGACGATGTGCTTGAAGTTGTTCTCAGTGGCCGTGCAGGAGTAGAGGCCGCGGTCACCAAGCTGCAGGGCACGAAGCAGCAGCCCCTGCTCTGTACGCAGGAAGCGGTCCTCTGCACGAATCTGCAGGGGTAGGGGTGGGGACTCAGGGGCTGGGTCACCACTCCACGGCCCTAGCCAGCTTCCAGACGAGACCACTTATGCAGC